CATTTATTCATAAAATCTACCCACTCCTCTTCAGGTTTAGGAAAGACGACCTTCATCAACTCATCCATTGTTTCCTCGAACAATTCTTCATCCTTACAGACCATTTCTGCTTTGTCGTCCTGATCACATTCAAGCTTTTCAGCAAAATCAACCATCATCACTTCATGTGGCTTAGACAGATTGTCATTGCCACTTTTGAGACCCTTAGTAGCCTCGACTATTGTAGCCACATCCAGTTTATCTATGAGGCCCTTAGTATCCTTCATCATCAGCACTTCAAATGGATCCACATAGTGTGCATCAGCCACATGTAAGGGATCTGAGTCGATCTTCATAACATTCCTTGGTTTCTCACCAAATTTCAGTGGACCGTCTTCCAAAGCCTTTTGAGTCAAATCCCTGAAAAGAAAACACTGAGAAGTATTATGACCCAAAAAACTATGATATTTACAAAAACTGCTTTTTTTGTTTTTGCTCTAATGGTGGATCCTTAGTGCCCGGGGGAACTTTAATCTGACCATCTGAAACTAAAACATCAAATATTTCATCACATTTTGACACGTTAAAAGTATATGTTTTAATATTAGTGCTATTGTTTTTTTGGATCTTCAACTGTTTTTCCCTTAGACGGTCTTATAGGTTTACATGAATATGGAGGCCCATCTTTAAATTAGGCTACATTAACCTCTCCTTATTCCATGTATTCGTCCTCAAACTTTATGAAATAATCCTCTGTGTCTACATAGGCAATTTTGCCTTTTCTTTGGTCCTTTGACACTGTAGTTTTCTCTGTTTTTAAAAGTTTGACATATCAAACCTTATCAGCTAGTTGGGACATATCTGTAATAGATTGAGGATCAAACTTTTTCCTAATAGAATAATCTAACCCCCCCAGCGGCCATTTCGAGCAGCTCATGTTCAGGAACCCTAGTAAAGCATCTAGACTTTAGGATCCTAAACCTATTCAAATACTCTTCCATTGACTCATACGGCCTTCTTTTGATGGAGGACAATTCTTTCAAACTTATCTTTGGCTGACCAGCATAAAATTGCTCATGAAATATAACCTCAAGTTGTTCCCAAGTGCGTATGGAGTTTGGAGTCAATGTCGTAAACCAAGTAAAAGCATTTTTTGCCAATGAATTAGGAATGTGTTCAATGTTCGACTCATTGGCCTCACCAGCAAACTTAGTAAACATAGGTACCTTACATCCCCTAGGTAATTATGCCTGTCGAATGTAATCAGGAAAGGGAGAAGAGTAATTAGGCCCCCGGAGACCAACATTTACTCCGGATTATGTTAATACTTCTTCTACCACATTTACTATGTTGTTACGTCCAACAATGGCATTTCTTAACACTCGATCAACATCTTGGTTTCTCCTAACTACGATCAGCCTAGGTTCATATTGTTCAATGAATTCTTCTTCTTCATAAGTGGGTGCTTCCACTCTTCGAGGTCTAAAAGGAAGCTCATTTTTGCCCCCCCCCCCCCCCCCCCCCTCTAGTTCTTCAAAAAACCTCAACGGCCTATGCCGCGTTTGAGTTTGAGTTGGTTGGACCCCTAATGAGTCGATTAATCTACCTATTTGGTTAACTACATGATTTGAGGGTGACTCGTATTTTCTAAGTTAAAACATTTACTAACTCTAAATTACTCTCATCTATTTGTTTCCTTAAAGCCATTATGGATGTAGTATTTAAAGATGGTGTCGACTGCGGCACATAATTAACACCACCTAGACGACCACTTGGGGCATAACTGCCTTAGTTTCCAGTGGCCATTGTGCTTTCTGTATATGTGGCAGGGTTCGAGTGTAACCCAACCATCATGGAATAAGGCATACCATATTGGTGAGGAACAAATGATGACCCTAGACCCCCTGGAAAGAGTGGTCGATTTGGGTCAAATGGTGATACCCCATGCCTAGGTTCTGTCATTGTGATAGTTGTCACAGGACCATGAGTTACGGTCGATCTTATAGGAGATAAAACTACCGCGCTTTGAGTTGTGGTACTTACTAGTATGACATCCATATTTTGTGTAGAAATCAGCGTATGTGCATTGTTTCTGTCAGAGTGTGGCATTTTAGACTTAGACAAAAGTTTACCACTTCTCAAATTCATACACACAATAACTATAAGAAACCTTGTGAAACTACACACAAAATCTGAAAATATTAGCAATGTCCCACCGGACGTGCCAATTTGTTTACCTCTGGATTTGGTAAACAACGTTGGTCTCTTTAAAACAAGTCTACAGGCGAGATCGACTAGGGAATCTCAGTATAATGCTTCAGTCCGCGTGCGTAATTAAAGTGTTTTCAAAAAGGTTCGTTCGACTGAGAGCCAAACGACTTGATAAAAGACAAAGTAAATAAGACAAAAAGCGTTTTAAATTGCAAAAGGTAATGCCATAACATTAAAGAAATGTTGAAAATAGGTTGGTTGAAACATACATTGCCTTTGCCTGACTCATTTCGCTCGTTCGCTTGGTTACTCTGAGTGACTAGCGTACAGGAATGTGAAAGTTTGACCTTTTACAAAGTACACTAAATTCTTTATTTATAATACACAAAAATAACTACTTTTTAAATGGGCTTCGTTTCCTTGCATGCCACGTGTTCTTCAAAATTCCCTCCATGATCCCACGTTCATCACTCCTAATATCAAACACACGTTTTCCCTCCATAACGCCTCGCCTTTGCAGTTTAGACGCTTATGGGCCTTTTAACCCTTTTGGGCTTCTTACCTCTCTTGAGCTCAATCCATTCACCATGAACCCTTCTCTGATCGACTGCACTTACGAAACCTTGGTCGACTACCCGTGACATCATCCATGGTCATGCTTATGTAGTCGACTCCTCATAATTTAATGCTCTTAAAAGAACCTTTTTAACTTTTGGTTTGAATTTCTCTCTTTATGAAAATTCTAGCCAACAAGGGAACATGAAGTTACTGATCAAAATATAAAATATTAACGGGAACATGAAGTTACTGATCAAAATTTTAAATATTAACAGAAATATGAAGTTACTGATCAAAATATTGATTATTAACGCAAACACGAAGTTACTTATATTAACTGGGACACAAAACTACTGATCAAAATATTGAATATTAACGGAAATACGAAGTTACTGATCAATATATTAAATATTAATGGGAACACAAAATTACTAATTAAAATTTTAAATATTAACGAAAACATTAAATTAATGATAATTTTTTTAAGAGTTAATCATCATTTTATCATCTGTCATATAGAGTAAATCCCAAAAACAACCTCTAAAAAAACACAAAACCACTGGACTATGATAGTTTATTATTCTCATACTTACAATAAAGATAAGTAATACATGATATATAACTTCCAATAATTGAAAACAGTAAACTGATATCACTACTTAATAATAAACTGAAAAATAATTTTGTTTTAATAATAAATTGAAAATATATTTTTTAATAATAAACGGAAAATAAAATTTTTTAATAATAAACTAAAAATAATATTTGTTAATAATAAACTAAATTTTTTTTTCAATTATAAACTGAAAATATTTTTTTTAAATAATAAACTGAAAATAATATTTTTTAATAATAAACAGAAAAATATTTTTTTAATAATAAATTGAAAATTATATTTTTTAATAATAAACCGAAAATAAATTTATTTTTAATAATAAACTGAAAATAAATATTTTTTTGAAATCTTTAATAATAAACCGAAAATAATTTTTTTAATAATAAACTTAAAATAAACTGAAAATAATTTTTTTAATAAATTTATTTTCAATTTATAATTAAAAAATTATTAATATAAATGAAAAATATATGAAATATTTAATAAAATATTTTAATTAAAATAATAAAAATGAAATATTTAATAAAGTATTTTAATTAATTTTTTATAAAAACTGGAATTTTTAAAAATTTGAAAACAAAATATATACATATATTAATGATTCATTTTAAAATAATATTTATCTATATATTAAGATCATTTGACATAGTTATGTAATATATACATTAAAATAGATAAAATAAACAAATAAACAAACTTGTCCAAATAATAAGAGCTTTGTTCTTTGAGAGAGATCCTGTGGATTTGATATTGACCTTGTGCAATAAATTAATACTTTTAAACTTTTCTAGTTTTTAAACTATAAATAATAAAAAATAAAAATGTCACGAGGAATTAAAAATAAATAAAAATATATAAAAAATCAATTAATAATACATCTCATAATAAAAAAATATTAAAAAAATAAAAATAAATGTCATGTAACAGTGTCATATTACTAATTCCATTAACCAAATTCACTAAGAGATTATAATAAAGGAATTTCAAAAATTACAAGGACGCCCTTTATGGTAAGGAACAAAATGATAATTAATCATTTTATATTAGCGAGAACAATAAATTATAAATTAAAATATTGAATATTAAAATAAATATGAAGTTATTGATTAAAATATTAAATATTAACGAGAATATGGAATTATTAATTGAATATTTATAAGAATATGAAGTATTGATTCAAATATTAAATAATAATAGAACAACTTTAATATTTATATAAATATTTTTAATAATAATTTAAAAATTAAAATAATATTTATATAAAATAAATATATATTAATTCAAATATTTTTATGTATTAAAAGAATTATAATCACCAACTTATAATATTCTTAAAAAAATTATTTTATTTTAATTATATTTTAAAAACAAATACACGTATCATATTTATATTTATATTCGTGCGAACACACAATTATCACGATACTTAAATGAAACAAAACTAAACAAGAATATTAAAATGATAAAACTGTTTTATTTATTTTTCAATATCTACAATAAATAATGAAATATAAAAATAAATACGGTAAAAAGTTGTCTCGCTCTCAAGTATAGATAGATGAAGTCGTACAAATAATCAATAACACTCAATATATGTGAGTTGTGTTATGTTTCCACTTAATCAACAAGAAAATTAATGGAACCACCTTGTTCTCAGTGTTTGAACATGACTAATATTGACAACACAACTGAAACTCCGATCATAGCCGCTGAATTTGTAACCGATCCGGCGGCTCCGACATCAGGACCTGGTGCCGGAGACAACGAGGGACTGAGGTCTTGGGCTGAGGCTACGATGACGGCAAAGACAAATACAAAAAGGAAGGAGAAAAACTTCATTGCAGAAAATGGTGAAGCCATTGCGAAACTGTGGAATATTTTTGCAAATTGAAGATGAAAAAACAGTGAAAATTTGTGAATGAAGAAGAAGTTATATTATGCAAATTGTTTGTGTAGGTTGTTGGATTGGTGTTGGGAGGGTGTGGGAGTATTTATAAGATTGTAGAAGCGCGTGGGCCCCACAGAAAACATGGACAGATGGAGTTTGAGAAACAATTACGTTAGCGTGTTGTTAAGTTTTGTTGTATAGTTAATTAGACAACCAATTAAAATGATTGCTTATGTATGATGTCTTCTTTTTTCAGGCACCATTCTAAACATAATAATTTTTTTGAAGTGATATTGTCTCACTGGACCATTTTACCTTATGTAGAGAGTTTGTTTTTAACAACCCCAAACAAATAGAGATACTTTTAGCATCATCAATTTATTTCACACAATCTTTAAGTGAGTATAAAGATTTTCACCTCTTCCCAAGTTAGCATATGATACACTTATTTGTCTAAGTTGATTATGCGATATTCAAGTTTCTATGACCACCTATCTAAAATATTATCTTGCAAATAAAAAATGATCCAACAAAGAACTACAATCCTTAAGTAACTCCTCCAAATCAAATCGTGGACACCTCCAAATTGTTAGAAGAAATTTATGTTCAAAAGGCAATGATTATAAGTTGTTTTGACTTAAAAGCAGAACCTTCCGTGGTTCGTTGTTGTTCTAAAAGTTGTGTCTAAGTTTGTTGGTTTAGTAGTTGTTTGTCGACGTGGTAGTTTAACTTTATTGTTTAACTTTAGACGGTGTCTACGTTGATACTTATCTATTCGTGTATTTAAACAAGTTTGTAACTAGTTTTTCATTAATACAATCAATAGTTTCTCTCTCAAAAGTTATGTTACAACCATTCTCTCTCTCTCTCTCTCTCTCTCTCTCTCTCTCTCTCTCTCTCTCTCTCTCTCTCTCTCTTCATCTCAATATTGTGCTCCAACATATGGTATCTAGAGTTCTGGTTCAATTCACAGAGAAACTTAAGTGTACGTAAGGCATGTGTAATTGATTTCGTTTTTTCTTGAATTCACGATTGGAATCGTAATAGAATTGAATTTCTTGATTTTGCGGAATTGGAAAACACGAGTATTTTTGTGAGATCTATTTGAGTTCTAGTGCACAAGAACGAAGATGAACGGAGGAAATAGTTTGAACACAAAACTTTCAGTGTTTGATGGAAAGAATTAGAATATATGGATGATTCAGATGCATGTGTTGTTCGGTGCTCGAGACGTTCTTGATATCGTCACCTAAGGTTACATTCTAGTTGCAACGGATGTGATGGAGGAATAGAGAATTGCGTAAAGAGATACGAGGAAGAAATATTAGAAAACTTTGTTCTACACGCATCAGTGTGTGGATGCGAACGTGTTTGAGAAAATCGTTGATTCGATGACGACGAAGGCTGCGTGAGATATACTGGCACAATGCTACAGGGGTGATTCATCAGTGAAGAAGGTGAAGCTCCAGTCTCTATGTAAGTAGTATGAGAATCTCAACATGAAGAGCTATGATAAGACACCTGATTACATCTCCAGAGTGATTCTGATCACAAGTGAGATGAAATCTTGTGGAGAAACTCTTTTTGAACAAGTAATAATTAAGAAGGTATAGAGATATCTTACTCTTCAATTTGATTACATTGTTGTAGCAATTGAACATTTTAAGAATCTGAGCACCATGAGAATTGAAGAGCTGCAAAATAGTTAAAGGCACAAGAGTTGCATCTGACTGAGAGAACCTCTGAAAGAGAGGTGGAACAGGCTCTGAAAGCTTCTTTTGTCATGAAGGACCAGAAGCAGTCTTGGTCAGGAGTCAAGAAAAGACATGGTGGTTCTCAGAAGTCAAAATCCTCCAAATCTGATGAGAAGAAAGATCACAAGGAAAAGGAGAAGCTTGGCAAGAGAAAGGTTCAATGCTACTGTTGTAATAGGTTTGGCCACTTTGCTAAGGATTGTTGGTCAAACAAGGATATGAAGTCAGAAGAAGCAAACATAGCCAAAGGAGATTTTGATGATGAACATGTGCTATTGATGGTTTCTGAGTATGATGGTAAATATTTGGTAAATTGGTGGTATATGGGCACTAGCTTCTCAAATCATATAATTGGAAACAAACAGTGGTTGGTTGATTTTGACTCCAGAATGATGACAAATACCTTAATGTAGAAGGTAAGGGAAATGTCAAAGTCAGGTGAAAAATAAAATAACCATTCTGATCAAAGATGTCTGGTATGTTCTTGGCATGGAGAGTAATCTGATGTGTGTAGGTCAGCTCATTGAGAAAGGTTTCTCAGTGATCACGTAGAACAATCTCTTGAAGTTGTATGACTGCAATTAGAAGGGGATTATGCAATCTGAGTAGGGAAGCAACAAAACATTCAAGATTAATATGGAGACAACTGAAACTAAATGCCTTAGTTCAGAGGGCGTTGAATGTGATAGTGAGTTGTGGCATAAGAGATTGGGGAATCTAAACTTCAAAAGTTTATGGCTTCTTGGTTCTAAGAAGCTAGTATATGGCATTCCTAATATTATGATGCCTAAGAAGTCATTTGAGATATGCATGAAAGGAAAGGAATCCAGATTGTCATTTGCATCAGAAGTAACCCCAAAAGCAAAGCATTCTTTGGGAGTAGTGCATTCTGATATATGTGGACCATTTCTAGTATCTTCACTTGAAGGAAACACGTATTTTGTGTCTTTTGTGGATGAGTTTACAAGAAAGACATGGTTAACACTCATCAATTTTAAGCACGAGGTTCTTAATGAGTTTCAGAAGTTCAAGGTGAAGGCTGAGAAACAGAGTGGTCAAAAGTTGAAGTTTTCAGAATTGACAATGAAGGTGAGTACAACTCTACAGAGTTCTAGAAGTTCTGTGAGGAGAAAGGAATTAGGCATGAGTTTACATCTCCATACAACCCTTAACACAATGGTCTTGCTGAAAGAAGAAATAACACTTTGCTTTATATGACAAGGAGCACGCTGAAAGAGAATAATATGCCTCACACCTTATTGGGAGAAGTTGTTGCCACTTCAACATATGTGCTTAACTGGTGTCCAACGAAGAAACTGAAGGAAACTATTCCTTTTGAGAAGTGGACTGGAGATAAGCAAGGTGTGATTCATTTCAAGGTATGTGGTTCAATTTGTTACAAACATGTTTTAGATGCTAAGAGAACTAAGTTTGATGATAGAAGCAAAGTAATGTTGTTGATTAGGTACCATGGTACATGTGCGTACAAGCTTTATTGTCTAGTTACTAACAAGGTTGAAGTCAGCAGAGACGTCATTATGAAGGAGTCATAAGCATGGGATTGGAGCAAGTCTCAATCAAACTCTGTGTAGTGTTAACACCTTAGGTAAATTTTGAAAATACTATAGAATCTGAAGGTTCTGAAGATGCGTCTGAGTCAGAAGGGGACTCTGAAGACGAGTCAGAGTCAGAAGATGATTCTGAAGGTAAATCTGATTCTGATTAAAATTATGATGATGATCTAGAATCTGGTGGTCATGCTTATGAAGGTGGAACTTCTGAAGGTGGAGCTTCTAAAGGTGGTCCAACTTCTGAAGTCCAGATGGTGATTTTGTTTCAGAACTTGAAGAATATTCTGAACAAGTCTAGAGGCCACAAAGAATCAGACAAATACCAAGGAAATTTGTAGAGTTTGACATGTTGCAAGATATTGGAGTAGACTTTGAGCGAGAAGTCGTTTAATGTGCCATGTTAGTAGACTCTGGACCAGTGAGTACTAAAGAAGCTCTCAAGAATAAAATGTGATTGAAGACCATGAAAGAAGAACTTGAATATATATATATATATATATATATATATATATATATATATATATATATATATATATATATATATATATATATATATATATATATATATATATATATATATATAGAAAGAAATAAGACTTGGGAGTTGACTTGGAACTTGAATAACGTGTGGATTTGGATTATATCATGTTGAGAGTTGTTATGTCGAGAAAGTAGTGGTCGAAGTGTTGTCAAATGCAACTTGGAAATCAACGAGTTGGATGCGAAATTCGTACTAAGAGTGGTAGTATCGAATAGATTTTCGAGGACGAAAATATTCTAAGTGGAGGAGAGTTGTAACACCCGTTAATTTAATTAATTATTTAATTAAATTAATTACAGATTAATTGTTGGAATGGTTGAGAATGTTGTCGAAAATTGTTGAAGTTGTGAAATATCGAGAAATGTTAATTTAAGTTGTCATGTTGTTAGTTGATTATTTGATTGATTAAGTTGTAGAAATAGTATTGGAATAATACTAGATTTATTATATGGGCTTAATTATTGGTTGGTGGTAGTAAAAGTAGGGGTGTTAAGATTAGGCCCAATGGAATTATTAAGAATATTATAATTATAAGGTTAAGCTATTTATAAGGAGAATTATGTTAATTGAACAAATCTTAGAGTATTTTGTGGTGAACGTGAGAAGTGGCAAGGAGAACAAGGGTTTAGAGGAAACTATCGTCGGGAGAGAAACCGCCGATCGGAAAGCTAAATCGGAATTCGACCGAAAATTATAGAGAGATCGTCAACCCAAGATTAGGGTGAGATTCTTTCTCTATAATTGGGTACATGATAAATGATATGTGGGGTTGGTTATATGAAATTATCGTGTGTAATTTTGTGTGAAAGGTTGTTGTTTTGTTGCTACTGCAATATTGTGTTTCCCGATAAATATGCAGAAACTCAATTGATGACTCCGTTGTGGAAAATTACTCTATGTTGATTGAGTATAATTTATATGTTGTTGTGGTGCTGTGTTGTGCTGTTGAATCGAACGGAAACAAAAACAAAAGCGAAAAGTCGGTGACGAGCGGCAAGAGGAAAGTGTGACGACCGGCATGGTTGTTGGAAAAGTGTGACGAGCGTCGGGAAACAGTGTGCCGAATGGCACATGTGGAGAGAAAGGGGTGCCGATCGGCACCCTAGAAGGAAAAAGAGTGTTAATGTATGTCGAGTGGCACCATGCTGTTGTGCAATTTTGGTCTGTTACTTTAATATTATACTTATATTGTGTTACAAAATTTATGTAGCATAGTTAGAAAAGGGTGAATAGTACCAGAAGCTATTTATTAGCAACATAAGGGAGTAATTCATGAATTGACATAAAATAGCATAGATAATTATTATGTTTCAGAATTAGAAACTGTTATGGTTTTAGTTGCAGAGCTTGTGGTAAATAATGGGAGCATTGGTAATCAAAATATATTAGCAGTAGAGATGACTTAAGTGGTAGAGAAATAATAGTTTCCTTAATTTAGCCGAAAGCTATTAATAAGGCTTATCAGCAGAATAATTTAGTAGAAGTATTATAGTAGGATCGTGTTAATAATATTATTGGTAGCAAATTATAGTAATATATGTACATGATTAGTGGATATCATTAGAGTAAGTTGGCAGAAGATTAATGTAGTGACTAGTAATAATTTATTAAATGGATGACAAGCAGCAAGTAGTATTAATAGGACTTGTAATAATAGTATGGGTATAAATAAGTCGTTGTGTTGTGGTTGTTGTTAAAACTATGAAGTTCAGAGTAGAAATACTAGCAATTTTAGTAGAGGATTAATTAGCAGAATTTAGTCGATTTGTCCGAATAACTATACGGAACAATTGTTGTATATTTTAGTCGACACAATGTGTTGAATATTTTGCTGAAAAATATGAATTGCATATGGTATTAAAATGTCAGGCTTATAGCCAATGTTGTTTTCTTGTTAATGTTGTTGTCCAATTACTATTATTGTTGTGACGTACTAAGTTGTAGGTTTATGCCAACATTACCGAATACATTATTGTTGTTGAATATGTTGTGATTGATAAGTTGATTAAGTTGTAGGTCTATGGCCAGTGTTAAAGCGACGACGAGTATCTCTAATTATTGGTAAAGTGACGATATAGACTTATGTCTTTGTGACGGTCATTGTTGTTGTTGTATGTGATTATTGCATTCATTGAGTCACATACATTTGCATTATTAAGTTGACATAGATTGGCACCATGTTGGCATGGATTGACAAAACTAGCGATGAAGGCTTATGCCTTGGCCTTGATGGCAACCTGCGATGAAGGCTTATGCCTTGTTGAAGCCTTTATTTATTGGCAGATTTTTAAGTTGGAAGTTATGTTCCAATGGTACCACATGCATGTGTATTATAATTGAGTCGCATTTGATTTTGCATCTTGAGTTGTGGTGATGATATATTTGTTGTTGCTTTATGTTGTTGACTTGTTGTGACAAGTATTATCTAAAAGCTGTGAATTAGTTGTTATGTCGTGTTGAGGCTTTGTTGTAATAGTTGTTATGTATAAGTTGTGAAGTGGTGATTTTATATGAGCTGATTCTAATATATTAATTATCATACATTTAATTATATAGTTCGATATCTCACCCCTTCTGTTTAAATGTTGCCCTCCGTTGGTAACGTGTAGGTAATCAAGAAGAATAGTTGTTACCCTCGTCAGTTTCGAGTCAGTGTCGTCGCTCTGATACGTAGCACTCGGGGGGATGAACGCTTGATGTTTAGTTGTTGGTTATTATTTTTGTTGCTGAATCTTTAAGTTGTTTATATGAAGTAACTGTTGTCTTGAAGTTGCTTTAGTTGAATAAAGATGTTAAGTGAATTGAAATTGACTATGTAGATTCCGCTTCTTATCAATATAAAGTTGTTTGATGTTAAAGAATAAATCAAGTTGTTATCGGTTCATCCGATTTAAGTGTTATGTATCTGTTTTATATACAATTAAATAAAGTTTGATTTTAAGTCGAAAATGTAGCATCCTATTTATGCTCAGCTGATTTTATTATTATCCGCCGTGTAGAATTGGGGTGTTACATAACGTCCATTCGATTGTCCCTCATACATCCAACGATAGGGTTACCTACTCTCTAATAGTAGGATATCACTGTCTAAAGGATAGGAGGAAAATAACTACCTTTTCGAGTACAAAGTAGATAATTGTTAGAAGTTTGTTCAAAAAACATTTTGCACTTACACAAATACTACTTTCAAAAAACAATTTTCAAAAACATTTGCTTTGTTAACACTCTTAAGGACTGATACAAGAGTTAAACGTAAAGCAAATAACCGCACTAAGGTATTTTCCAAACATTTTAAAACACACAAAACACAAGAGTATTTCAAAATGAGAAAATCTCTAAGAGTCCGTAGATAACTACAGATGGAAAGAGTGCTAACACATTCCCTTTCCATAATCTACTATTCTTACTCAGAAAATCTCAAAAAGGTCTTTTTCTGTTCTTTTCACCCTTTCCTTAATTTAGATAAAAGAAAAGTCGGTGGCGACTCTTGCTTACCACAACATTTACGAACACAAAACATAAAAAAAACCAATATCAAACCGTCAGTTCTGCCACCTTATCACACTCCCTTTCTGGTCTGGAGAGTCTCATTTCAAGAACACAAGTTTCAACGATGTTGTCAAGTTCACAAGTCCACCAAAACCACCTGATTCACCAGCGACATCAATCTTGGATCATCCTCATGTACCGCTGCCAACCCTGAGTCCATTGTCTATAGATTCATCTCAGCCACCACCATTAAAATGTTCAAGTATAGTCTCATCTTTATCACCACCACCGAAAACACCATTGAAAGTTCCAGATATTGTCTCACGTCAGCGACCACCGTTGAAACCATCGTATGAACTTTTACCGTCCATTCCAAAACAGGAGATGATTCACTCTCATTCTTACAAGTCATTTTCACAATATTATGAAATCTTAGATCTTGAATCTTCAATCACTCTCATAGTCGAGCCTTGATTCAATGATGGAAGGTTTCACGATGGTGTCGCTTTTCCGATTCCTCCAAAACCATATTTATGTTTATAACAAGTTTTCTTGCTCCAACAACCTGCACATGAACCGTTTGACAAATTGTCACCAAGACCAAGATTCTCCCACATACATACAATTTTTGCAAACGTAGATGGGTTCCTCCCCCCTTCATCACCAAATCTAGAAATGAAGCTTTTACAACTTGGTCTTGCCCCCTCCGTTTGTCACATACAACTGGGAAGTTTCATCAATCCGTCGTCGAAGCCGCCACTGCCAAAATTACATGATCACAGTGTTTCTACAGAAGGTCTTCCATCTGTTATCCCAACATGTTTAGCGCTCAATACAAGGAAAATGGCACAAAATAATGCAATTGTTCGACAACTCCCAAGTGTTGAAACTTTGGGATGTACCACTGTGATTTGTTCGGATAAAACTGGCACACTGACTACGAATCCAATGTTTGTGATGGAGTTCTTCACATTGGAAGGGAAAACCACTACTTCCAGAGTCCTTAGAGTTGAAGGGACGACTTACGATCCAAAATAAAGAGGCATTGTTGATTGGACTTGCTATAACATGGATGAAAATTCGTTAGCCACGACAAAAATATGTGTTGTTTGTAGCAATGCTGGTGTTTATTTTAACAGTTGCTTATTTCGAGCTACGGGCTTACCAACTGAATTTATTTTCAAAGTTTTGGTTGAAAAGATGGGGTTTCCAGATATCAAGTCAAGGAACAAAACTCGCGACACGCAAGGTGCAGCAAACAACGTGATGGATTGCAATATCATGAAGCTAGGATGTAGTGAGTGGTGGAATAAAAGATCCAAAAGGGTAGCTACTTTGGAGTTTGATCGTGTTAGAAAGTCGATGAGTGTTATTGTTCGTGAACTAGATGGTCAACATCGGCTTCTTGTCAAGGGTGTTGTTGAGAGTTTATTGGAGCAAAGCTTGTTTATGCAACTTGCAGAGGGATCTCTTGTTCCAATAGATGATCAATGTAAGGGACTACTTTTTCAAAGACTCCATGAGATGAGTTCGAAGGGGTTGCGTTGCTTGGGTTTGGCATGTAAAGATGAGTTGGGAGAGTTTTCAAATTATTCCACAGACACTCATCATGCACACAAGAAATTGCTTGATCTAACACACTATTCATCCATTGAAAGTGATTTCATTTTTGTCGATGTTGTTGGTTTAAGAGAGCCTCCTAGAGAGGAAGTTTATAAAGCAATTGAGGATTGTAAGCAAACTGGTATTAAAGTTATGGTGATAGCTGGGGATAATAAATCAACTGCCGAGGCAATTTGTACTAAAATCAGACTTTTCTCTGGATATGCAGATCTTACAGATCAAAGTTTGACAGGTACATAACTCACGTCTCTTTCTCATTTAGAACAAGTTAAATTATTATTGAGAAATGGAGGCAATTTTTTTCGCGAGCCAAGCTTAAACCCAAGCAAGAAATTGTGAGACGGTTGAAGGAAATGGGAGAAATTGATGCAATGACTGGAGATGATGAAACTTCTTTGCAGGTAAAACTCAATGACCTTGCTACTATCTATAGTGACAAGACTGTTCTACTTGAATCACTATTCAACAACATTGGTGGAGAAGTTGTCAAAAATGAAAATGTGAAAATTGAAAAAAATGCGAAGAGTTCTGTTGATGAGAATTCCAATTTTGGTGAGGATATAATTATTGGTGTTATCAATTCTGGTGTGTGTCCTGAGAGTCAAAATACATTGTCTGTTATGATTGTTCAGTTTAAACAATGAGATCCGAGAGTAATTTTAGAACCTTAAGAATAACGTTCAAGTGAACTCGACGAGAATCATAGAGGTACAATTAGATATGATAATACAATTTATATTATTAATATGATTATTGAATTTTATTTGTAATTGGATATTTTAGTTAATAATCTATTAATATCATTATATATTTATAATCTTTGACACATTTTAGGTTACCAATGAAAACAAATAAAATTTAATTTCTTAGTTTGTTAGAGTTTTAGATGTAGCTTTTCCTATGAGTTGATAAAGTTTCAGAGGATCACATGGGTTGAAAGATAACGTGGACAGGTGGTGCTTGAAAAACAATTATGCAATTGCCGACTTTGTATCATATGAATGGGTCTGGCCGTTAGATGTTTGCATATGTTTGTGTGCTCTGTGTATGTGCTGTTTTGTTTTGTTAATTGCTTTTTCTTTGAACTACTCAACTGCCGTAAGGACCAACACGTCTATGTTTTAAAATTATTGACTTGGACTCTTCTTAGAATACATCAATAATTCAAAAGTTTGGTGAAGATATTTGTATGAATTTTTCAAATAATAACGCTTGATTATTTTCAAGAAGACTACGTTGCATTATTTTAAAAACTATTAAAGTCGCACTTAAAAGAAGCTTGTGAATCCTAACTTTTTCTCTTATGTTTTCTCTTTATATAGCAATTAATACTTTCATCACGTGCGAAGCACGAGATAAATAATAGATAGATATTATATTTGAAAAAAAAAATTAATATTTATTTATTAAATATTTGAAATATATAGAAATTAATGTGAATTAATAAATTAGAGTAATTAATATTAAATAATATTTGTTGGAAAGATAATAGAAAATAATATAATTAAAAATTATTTAGGTGAATAAACTTTGAATATAACTCAACATAGTGAAATGTGACATGCAAGACATAATATGTGTTTTAAAGTATAGTTGTAAAGGATTCTGTGTCTAATGGCTAAAAGTTGCATGAAATTTTGCGTTGCCAATCAAACAAATATGCAGCTCAGGAGGATACTTCAAAATGAAATGATAATCCATTTAAGAAAAGAATGCTACAGTCACATGTAATCCTTTTGGTATTTATTAGTGTATCCATGAGATGATTCTCCTTGTACATCATAAAGAAATTTCACTGCCAAAAAACGAAATGCTTTGTTAGGATAGCAAACTTGGTTCTAAAGTAAGCTAATAAATAAACACATAAACACTGTTGGAATGTATGGTATGTACCTGACATGAAAAGCAATTTGATAAGTGTAGGACAACTGATTGAGAAAGGTTTTTCAGTTATCATGAAGGACAATTTTCTGAAGTTGTATGACTGTAATCAGAAGCTGATTATGGAGTCAGAACAAGGAAGAAACAAAACATTCAAGGTGAATGTTAGAACTGCAGACTCTGAATGTCTTAGTGCAACAAGTGTTGTCAAAGAAAATGAGTTGTGGCACAGAAGATTTGGTCATCTGAATTTCAGAAGTTTAGGGCATCTGAAATCAAAGAATCTAGTACATGGAATTCCTACAATCAAGAAGCCTGAAAAGTCATGCAAGGTGTGCATGGAAGGGAAGCAACCAAGATTACCATTTGCATTAGAAGTAGCTCCAAGAGCAAAACATATCTTGGGAGTAGTGCATTCCGATGTGTGCGGTCCTTTTCCAGTAGCATCAACTGAAGGGAATAAATATTTTGTGTAATTTGTTGATGAGTTCACCAGAATGACATGGTATCTCTCATTAAGTTCAAACACGAGGTGTTTGCTGAATTCAAGAAGTTCAGACTGAAGGCTGAAAATCAGAGTGGTTAGACTCTGAAGATTCTTAGAACTGATGGTGGTGGTGAGTATAACTCCACCGAATTCATAAGTTTCTGTGTGGAGAATGGAATTGAGCATGAGGTTACTGCTCCATATACTCCTCAGCACAATGGTCTTGCTGAAAGAAGAAATCATACTTTGCTGATATGGTGAGAAACATGCTGAAAGAGAAGAAGCTTCCTCATACTCTGTGGGGAGAAGCTGTTGCAACTGCGTGTTATGTGCTCAACAGATGTCCAACGAAGAAATTGAAGAAAATAGTTCATATTCAGAAGTGGGCTGCAGATAAGCAAAGTGTTAGTCATCTGAAGGTGTTTGGTTCTGTATGTTACAAACATGTCCCAGAAGCCAGAAGACAGAAGTTGGATGATAGAAGTAAAGTGATGTTGCTGGTGGGGTATCACAGTACAGGTTCGTACAAACTTTATTGTCCAGAAACTAACAAAGTTGAGTTCAGCAGAGGCGTCATTATAAAAAAATCAGAAGTTTGGAATTGGGAAAGGTCTCGTCCTGACTCTGTTGAGAAAAATCCTGAAGAAAAGTCAGAAACACATGTTTTTGAAGCTGATAAAGACTCTGAATCTGAAGAAGATACAGAAAGAGAAGATGATTCTAACTCTGACTCTTATGGTGATCCAGACTCTGAACTTAGTCAATATTCTGGAGAAAGTCCAATTTCTGAAGCAAGTGCTTCTGAAGGGGAAGGTTCAGGTGTCCAAAGTTCTGAAGGTCCAATTCATAGGCAACAAAGAGTCAGAAGCATCCCAAGAAGATTTGCAGAGTTTGACATGTTCCAAGACACTGAAGTAGACTCTGAAGAAGAAGTTATTCAGTGTGTAATGTTAGTAGACTCTGAACCCGTGAGTATAGAAGAGGCTCTTAAGCAGCAAGTTTGGTTGCAGGCCATGAAAGAAGAACTTGATGTTATAGATAGAAACAAGACTTGGAAACTGACAAAACTTCCAAAAGGCAAGAAAGCCATCAACGTCATATGGGTTTTCAAGCAGAAGCTAAAGCTAGATGGATCAATTGGCAAACACAAATCAAGATTAGCAGCAAGATGCTTTCTATAGAAGCTTGGGTTGGATTACTTTGAAGTGTTTGCACCTGTAGCGAGACATGAAACAATCAAACTAGTGATTGCAATAGCTGCTAACAGAAATTGGCCTCTGATGCATTTAGATGTAAAATCTTCTTTTCTGAACGATCCATTACAAGAAGAGGTATACGTATCACAACCTCCTGGGTTTGAGAAAAAGAATCAGGAAGGGATGGTGTTCGAATTACACAAAGTTTTGTATGAATTGAAGCAAGCGCCCAGAGCTTGGAATTTGAAGATTTATTCGTTTTTTAAGGAACAAGGGTTTTATAAGTGTGAGATGGAGTATGGTGTTTATGTTCAACATACTTCAGAAGGTAATATGATTCTGGTCTGTTTGTATGTTGATGACATATTACTCACAGGAAGTTCTGAACAAAAGATAGTTGAGTTCAAGAAAGTTCTGATGAATGCATTTGAGATGACAGATCTTGGGAAAATGAGTTTCTTTCTAGGTATGGAATTTATGTACTCCGAGAAAGGAATCATTTTGCATCAGAAGAAGTATGAACTTGAGCTTCTAAAGAGATTTGAGCTATAGAATTGCAAAGTTTCTATCACACCTGCTGATACGAATCAGAAGTTGGACTCTGATTCTGATGGAGAGGATGTGGATGCTACAACCTTCAAACTGATGGTTGGTTCTCTGAGGTATCTGTGTAATACCAAACCTGATATTTTTTATGCAGTTGGAATGGTTAGAAGATTTATGAGTAAACCAAAGTGGTCTCATTACCAAGCTGCTGTCAAGATTATGAGGTATGTGAAGGGAACTCTGAAGTATGAAGTGTTATTTTCGTCTGAAAGAAAGATCGAATCAGAACTTCTGAGTTATTCAGACTCTGATTGGTGCAGAGATAGAGTGGACAGAAGAAGTAATTTTGGTTACTTATTCAAATTTATGGGAGGTCCTATTTCTTGGTGTTCCAAGAAGCAATCTGTTGTTGCGTTGTTAACCTATGAAGCTGAATATATTGCAGGCGCTCTGACTGCATGTCAAGCTGTGTGGATTCTGAACTTGTTGCAAGATCTGAAGATTGAAGTAGCCAAACCAATGAAGCTGATGATTGATAACAAGTCTGCAATCAATCTTGCAAAGAACCCAGTGCTTCCTGGGAGAAGCAAGCATATTGAGAACAAATATCATTTTATGAGGAATCAAGTTCAGAGCGGAATATTAGAAGTTGCGCATTGTACCTAGAAGCAGCTGGCAAGTGTTCTAACAAAGGCTATCAAGACTGGTCAATTTCTTTGCTTGAGGGATGAAATTGGTGTTGTCAGTTTTGGATAAAATATAAATTAAGGGATGGTGTTAGATTTAATTTATATTTAGTAATATATTTTGGATATTAATCTATATTTTAGGAATATCTTTTAGAAGATATTATTATATCTTTTTATATCTTTATTAGAGGATATTTAGGTTTTTATTTTGTGTATAAATAGCCTAGTGAAGTAGGTTAATGTAATTCAATTGTAAATCATTATTCCTTATTTTTGTAGCCGTCATTTAATATATACTTTTTGCTTTTCATCTCTTCTTTGTGCACCAATAAACACAACAATTGGACACGAAACAGTGAGATGCTTGATCAAGCAATGTGTTAGGCACACAACTAATATCCATGTAGACATCCTCAAGCCTTGTTCAGATGAAACTGTGGG